TGGTCTTTTTGAGACAGGGTCTCCCTGTAGCCTCAGGTGTCCTGGAACTCAGTACGTAGACCAGGCTGGCCTTGAATTATTTTTTTTTAAATATATTTAAAATGATTTGAGAATTTCATACATGACCGCATAACTGCACTATATTTGCATCATTTCCACCTCCTCCCTCTCCCCTCCCACCTCCTCTCAACTTCATCACTTCTTATATACTTACTATTATTATACATGTATGTGTGTGCATATGTGTATAACCTATTGAATCCAATCAGTGTTGCTCATATGTACATGTGTTTAGGGCTGACCACTCAGGATTGGATAGCCTCTTTAGAGGTTTGTCTCTGGAGAAAACTGATTCTCCCTCCCTCAGCAGGCATTGATTTCCTGTAGCTCTTCATCTAGGGGAGGGACCTTGTGAGGTTTTCCCCATCTACATTGACATGTAACTGGTGCTGTCATTGTGTGGGCAACCATATTGCTGAGATTTCATGGGAGCAGTTTGCTTGTCATGTCTGGAAGACACTGTCTTGCAGCATGTGTTCTGATCCTCTTACAGTCTGTCTGGTTCTTTTTCCTCTAAATTCCCTCAGCTTTAGGTATAGTGGTTATGTTGTAGATGTACCAATGGGGGCTGGACACCCCACAGTCACATATTCTTTGCATTGATGAGTTGTGGATCTCTGTAGTAGCCTTTGTCTGCTGCAAAAAGAAGTTTCTTTATCTGGGTGTGGTGGCCCATATCCCAGCACTCAGGAGGCAGAGGCAGGTGGATCTCTGTGAGTTTGAGGCCAGCCTGACCTACAAAGCAAGCTCCAGGTCAGCCAGGGTTGTGTAGTGTGATGGTCTGAATGAAAATGTCCCTCATAGGCTCCAAGTATTTGGACATTTTGTCCCCAGCTGATGGTGCTGTTTTGGGAGGTCTTAGAAGGTGTGGCTATCCTGGAGGAAGCACGTCACTGGGGGTGGGCTTAGAGAATTCTTAAGCCTTGCTAGATCTCCAGTTGGTCTCTTGCTTCCTGTGGCTGTGTGATGATGTGAGAGTTGAGCTTCTGCTTCTCCAGCCACCTCCAGCCACCTCCAGCCACCTCCAGCCACCATGCCTCCCTGCCATGAGGGACTGTAATTCCCCTGGAACCGTAAGCTCAAATAAAGTCTTCTTTCTATAAATTGCTTGGGTCAGTGTTTCTATCATAGCAACAGAAAAGTGACTAATACACATAGTGTGACCCTGTCTCAACTCCACCAAAGAATTTTAATGAGGTGTGAGAGCTACACTTATCTGTGGGCATAAGGGTAAGTATATAGACTACAGCTAGAAGCTATATTGATTTTGAAATGATAGTGGTAGGTTCTCCTCTAGAGTCTATGGCCTCTGCAGTCATGGGTTCTACTGTACCAGGCATGAGCTCCCTCCAATTGAGCTTGCCTTGAATCTAATTAGACAGATGTTAGTTACCACTATTGCACCATTGCCAGGCTTGTCATTGTTGAGGTTCATAGGCTTTACAACTGGGTAGGGCTATTGGTTGCTTTTCCCCATTGGCAGCTTGCATAGCCCCTTCTGATATTATGAGAGCTGATCCTCACGGAGGAGGCTTCTAGGTTAGCTCCAGCTCAATTCCTCTAAGTGCTGTGCCTGAAGTATGTGGTGTCTTCAGCAACAGTGTCTTTACCTTAAAGTTCTGGGAGGCAACTAGGGGCAATGGCAGTAGCCTATATTGTTTTGGGGGATCTCTTGGATCCCACTGGCCAACAATTGAAAGGGAGGTGTCCCTTGCCTAGCACTGGGGCTTTTATTAAGTAGTCCATGACTCCTGGGGGGAGAATTATCATTATCACCCCCTATGGTGCAAATCCATTTAAACTAATATACATGTATGTACACACATACAACATGTGTGTGTATTTAAGTAAACATAAAATAACGTGTTTCCCTATGGAAACATCCTTAGTGTTATTTATCTCTTCTCCCTCCCTCTCCCCTCCCTCTTTTCCCTTCTCCCTCTCCGTCCCCCTCTCCCTTTGAATTCCCATCCTTCTCCCCTCCCTAGTGAAGTTCTTCACCCCACTCTTCCTCTTTCCCCCTTCATAGCACCTGTGTCCTATTATCTCCTCCTCTCAGGCTCCTTCTCCCCCATCCCCATGGTCCCTTTCTACTTTTCTGGCCTCTGCAGTTATTTCAAGTTATATACCTACAGCCAAGGATTTGGGACTAGGAATCACAAATAATAGAAAATCACTAAGAATCTCAGTGTATGGCTTTCTGGGTCTGGGTTACCTTACTGAATAATATTTTCCAGTTCCATCCATGTGCCTACAAATTTCATATTTAATTTTTCTTTATAGCTGAATAGAATTTTATTGTGTATATGGACCACATTTTCATTATCCATTCATCAGTTGAGTGGTTTAGGTTGTTTCTATCTCCTAGCTATTATGAAAAGAGACCATGGCTGAATGAGTATCTCTGTAGTAGGACATCAAGTTCATTGGGTATATGCCAAGGAGTGGTGTAGCTGGGTCGAGTGGTAGATCTATTTCTAGCTTTTTGAGAATGCTCTATTCTGATTTCCATAGTGGCTATACCAGTTTGAAAAAAACATATGGAATGCTTCACAATTTTTCTTGTCACCCCTGCACAGGGGTCATGCTAACCTTCTCTATTATTCCAGTTTTAGTTTTTATGCTGCCCAAATGAGCACTGTTGCTCAATTTTTTGAGATAGAATCTCATGTATCCCAGGCTGGCCTGCAACTCATTATGCAGCCAAGGATGACCTTGAACTCTGATCCTCTGGCTTCTACCTCTCAAGTACTGAGATTACAGATATATAACACCATGTCTAGATTCTCCATGCCTCAATAACCATAGAAAACTCTACAAATGAATGTACCACAAAGTTGCTAAGGAGTGATAGAAATTTGGAAATAGTTGCAAGCTAAAGAATGTTCATACCTGGTATGAGTCCCTATAGACTCATACATTCCATACATACATTCCATCTTACAAGACAATGGAAGGGTTAAAAAAGGTTAGAGATGAATAACACTCAAATGGACCTACAAGGCATAGACACCTGCTCTAGAAAGAACAGACAGAGGCCTCAGGCACCAGGACAGAATGCTGTGCTCGATGCTCTAGAAGGTGCTGCTGATAAAACCTTGAACAACCTCCTACATGGGAAGGTTTGTCTGTATCACTGGATGAATGACCTCAGCTGTCAGATGGAGTGACCCATGGAAAACAAACTGAAATCTAGTACAGTTACAGCCACCCCAAAAGAGAACCTCCAGCAAATAGGGACCAAAGGATTTACTCAACAGATACACTCACAAATACACACTAAATCCATGTACTAATCCAAAAACCTGGAATTTAAAGGGTTCCTGAACCCAGAACTTTTGAATGCTGACACGAAGCTGGAAGTGGAAAATTCCATACTGTGAACCTGACTTAACACACAAAGTTATTCAAAGATTGTATAAAATTGCCTCTAAGCTATGTGTGTGAGGTATATTTATTTTTGTTTGTTTTTCTTGCTTTTGATTTGCTGAGACAGTGTCTCACTCTGCAGCCCAGGATAGCTTTGAACTGTGATCCTCCTACCTCAACTGTGTGGATTTGCTTCCACATCCTGCATCTAAGGTATATTTAAAATGTGAACAGATAGTCTGGCATGGTGGTGCACCCCTTTAATCCCAGCACTGGGGAGGTAGAGGTAGGGAGTCTCTGTGAGATCCAGGCAAGTCTGGTCTACACAGTGAGCTCCAGGCCAGCTGGGGCTACAGGGAGACCCTTTCTCAAAAAGCCAAAAACTAGGGTTAGAGAGATGGCTCAGCGGTTAAGAGCACTGGCTATTCTTGCAGAGGACCCAGGTTCAATTCCCAGTACCCACATGATGGCTAACAACTGTCCATAATTCCAGTTTCAGGGGATCTGACACTGTCTTCTGACCTCCTTGGGCATTGCATGACACAAGTGCACACACATATGTGTATGCAAAACATTCATACACATAAAATATAAAAAAATTAAAAAGACCCCAAACTAAAAAATAGATAAATTAAAAAAAAATGTAGACAGATGTTAGTGTGTGTGTGTGTATGTGTGCGTGTGCATGTGCGTGCGTGTGTGTGTGTGTGTGTGTGTGTGTGTGTTGCTAGGGATTAAACTCAGAACCTTAAGAATGTTAGGCAAGTATTCTTCCACTGAGCTATAGACCCAACTCAAATTTCATGTTTAGATTTTTGTCCCATCCCCAGATGTCTTATCTCATATGTGTAAATGTTCAAAAATATGGAAAAAAATCTGAAATCTGAAACACTTTTGGTCCCAAGTATTTTCAATAAGGGACACTTGACCTATATAGAGATGTATTGTTGTATTATTTGTAAAATTGTATTACATTTTTATTTGTGTGCATGGTGTGTGTGTGTGTGTGTGTGCGCGCGCGCGCGCTACAGTGCCCTTAAGGAGATTAGAAGACAACTTTCTGGAATTGGTTTTTTTTTTTCCTTCCACTATGTGGGTTCCGGGGATCCAACTCAGATTCACCAGGCTTGGTAGCAAGTATCTTAACCTGCTTAGCTATCTCACCAGCTCTTGCTGTAGTATTTGTAGTTACAAAATAGTGGAAATCAGATAACATATTGATAAAGAATAGTTGTATAAGAGACGTGATCTAGGAATAGACAGGAACTGATAGGGGAGAGAGTGAAGCTCCATTATCTCTCCTGTAAGAAATGAGAGAAACCTTTTTATGAACAGTTTCCAGATAGATGCATAGAGACCTGTAATTACCTCTGAGTCTCAGGTAGAAGGGATTGAGAACGGCATCACTAATAACATTACCTAATCTGTTTGCACACTAGCCTATGCGCTTTGCCTAGACTAACCCAGCTCATCTTCACGGCATGTTTCTAAAGTGGGTTTTATGTTCCCTGATTTACAGACAAAGAAACTGAGGCAGCTGGACTTTGATTAACTTGCCTGTAGTCACTGCACTCGCAAGCAGAAGAGCTGAATTTGAGCCAGGAAGCGGTGCTAGAGTCTGTGAGCCTTTATTTGTTTGTTTGTTTTATGAGACAGAGTCTTTGGGTGATCTGGAACTCTCTCTATGTAGATCAGACTGGCCTCAAACTCACAGAGATCTGTCTGCTGCTGCTTCCAGAGTGCTGGGATTAAAGGAATGAGCCACTACACCCAGCCAGTCTGTGTTTTTAACCATTACATTGTAAGGTTTACTTTACTTGTTTTTTATTGTATATCCCATTAGACTGTCAAAAAAATTTTTAAGTATCACTTTTAGTTCAGAAAACTAGTCAAGCAGGGCATGGTGGTTCATGGAAAGCTAAAGCTGGAGGATGACTATGAGTTTGGGGCCATCCTAGACTCAAACCCTGTCTCATTAACAACAGCAACAACAAAAACTAAAAGTATGGGGCTGGAGAGATGGCTCAGCAGTTAAGAGTACTAGCTGTTCTTGCAGAAGACCGGGGTTCAATTCCCAGCATCCATATGGCCACTAACAACCGTCTGTAACTCCAATTTCGGCAGAATCCAATTCCTTCTTCTGACCCCCAAGGGCATTGAATGACACAGGTGCACTTACACACATGCAGGTGATATACTCATGCACATGAATTAAAAAAAACAAAACAAAAACTAAACGTAGGAGAATCAGAGCAAGGGTTGCAGGTTGGAGTAAAACCCGACATGCATGAAGTCCTGGGATTTCACGTTATACTTATCTTCCCTTCTTATTAGAACCCAAGAACAGTCCTTGGAAACAAGTCCCAGAGAGGGACAGGCCCATGCTGGGTGCAGGGCCAGTGGCAGGAGGAGCCAGTATGGCCACGGCTTGCTGTGTCCCACAGTCTGGATGGCACCCTGTAGACAGGGGCTGACTGCACCCACAGGCTGCAGCCCACTTCTTTATTACAACTCTCAATCTTACTGTTTCTATCCAGCTGCAAAACATTTAAAACTTTGCTTTAGCTTTAATTAGCAAATTTATCCTTGACGCTACTATCACATTGTGTGTGTGTGTGTGTGTGTGTGTGTGTGTGTGTGTTTATGTGTGTATATGGGTTCCCTCACTGAACCTTGCTCTCACTGATTTGGTTAGACTGGCTAGCCAGAAAGCCATAGGCATCCTCCTGCCTCTGCCTCCCGAACGCTGCTGTGATAGGTGTGCACTGCTGTGCCTGGCTTCTGTGTGGGTTCTGAGGATCTGAAGCCAAGACTTCAAGCTTGCGTAGCAAGCAGTTTACCAACCGAGCCGTCACTGCAGCCTTACTGTTACTTTTAAAAAGTCACAAACGTGTTTTTCCTGCAATATGAAAGCAATCTTCTTCCTTTGTGCTGTGGTTAACTTTAATTACATGCTTGACTGCATTAAGAAACACCCAGAGGGCCTGGAGAGAAGTCCCAGTGGGTAAGAATGCTTGCTGTGAAAGCAAGGGGACCTGAGTTCAAATCCTCAGCACCTACATAAAAAAAGACGGGCATGGTTATTCATGCCTGTAACTGCAATGCTGGGGGGACAGGCAGAAACAGGTAATCCTAGGAGCTGGCTGGCCAGCTAGCTTAGCCTACACAGTGGACTTCAGGTTCAGTGAGAAATCAGACCTCAAAAAGTAAGATGGACAGAGATAGACAAGATATCTTATGTCTTCCTCTGGTCTCTGAATGCCTTGGCACACACACACAACATACTCCCATCTGTGCACACAGCTATACACGTAGACATACACACACACACACACACACACACACACACGTACACACATAGAGAAACAGATGAAGCATTAATAGAAACAGGAGTATCTATGAGGCCATTTTCAAGGGGGTTTATCTGAGGAGGAAAGACCCATCCTTTATGTGGGAATATGGGTGACTGGGGTCCTGGGCTAAATAAAAAGGGGAGAAAAAGAAAGCCAGCCTGGCACTGCACTCTCCTCTTTTCTGCCTCCTGGTCAGTGCTAAGGATGTAGTCACTCCTTTCCCACCACAATGGACTGATGACATTCTCCTGACTATCCAGATATTTGGGCATACTTCAGGTGTAGATAGTCACGAACTTGGTAAACCAACCAGATGTCAGAATAGAGCAGAAGAGGATCATAGTGTGTACATCACCAATTGTGGGTCACGACCACACAGCTCTGTGACTCAGGCATGCGGAGCCAGAGAAGAAACATGGTTTTTCTATGGCTGGCTGCTGTCTTCATGGCTTGAAATATAATGGAGCCAAATGCAGAATCCCTGGGCTTGGATCTTAGATGGGCTCCTTCTTTTTCATCCTGAGCAGGTGGGCATTGGAGATCCCATTGACCTAAATAGGGATGTCTCTGGAAGAACTAAGTTTCAAGAAGAAGACAAAGAAAAGAGCTCTGTTTGGTCTTGTTCAGTTTAAACTGCTTACTGAACATTCAAATAGAAAAGTAAAGTGTAGTTGCAAATGTTATGGCTCTAGACAAATATTAATATTTGAGAGATAAAGCTTTAGAATTGGACGTGGGCACACATAACAGACAATCTCAAGTATCAGTGTTTAGGCAAGCCCAGAGTTTATCTCTTGCTCCCTTCATGGTGATCTGGAGGTAGGTGACTCAAGGCTGACTTGGGGGCTCTGCGGTCTCATCAAAGACACAAGTGTGGCTCCTTCTGCCTTGTCATCCTCTGGGTGTGACTGTCTGCC